CAACCCGCACGTATGATGATCTTGATTTTCCAAAGGAGCTTCAGGAAGTTGGAGCAGCTCAACATCAATGTGAGAGAGACACGTCGATTGGTTGCGTCCCGCACGTGCCCCAACTGGGGACAGGGATTGAACCTGAAATCCTGGTACCTGCCTTTGGCTGGGAGCCAAGCCCGAATTCAAAATTACCCAACTATTCATGGTGGAGCTGTCTCTGCTGCTGACTCTTGTCATCCCTGCTTCGGGCAGCACACACCTCTGACTGCATGGGAGCCAAGCCCGAGACCCTTTGGTGGGTGGGCTGATGCTCTAACCACTGAACAACACCTGTCAGGGCCAGAGACTTGTGTTTTTATGCCATCCCCTCTACCTGAAGGTGGCCCATCTGGACAGCAGCTGTCTCTGCTGCTGACTCTCGTCACCCCTGCTTCGGGCAGCACACACCTCTGACTGCGTGCCTCAGATGGGGGTGAAAACACACCTTTTCCTGGGGTTTTGGTCTGGTTTGCAGGGGGAGCCCAAGAATGTATGTTCAGGATGGCGGTGAACTTGAGAGCTCTTCTTTCCAGAGGCTCACAGGCCCTTGTCCCTTTGCATTTGCAGAGGGGGCTCTGGACCTGCCGGCGGGGGACGTCGGAGAGGGGAGCTCCTTCCTGGAGACACAACAGACATGTGGGTTTCGGGGGCTGGCAGCTGGAGAGCCGCGGATGGTCTTCAGGGAAACAGAGGGGCCGAGAACGAGACACGAGGCCAGGCCTTGGGACCCTGCCTGTGGGTGGCAAGGCCGCCAGTGTTCAGGGCAGTGGAGTCTCCTCCTCAGTTCTAATTGGAGCTCGTGGTGTTTTTGCCATGAGCAACCTTCCTTTTCCTTTTCACTCATCCCTCCACACCCCGTCGATGAGATGTTTGTGGCTTTCAGGACAAGGATACAGTGACACTCCTTAGTTCCCATGTTCACCCCTAGAGAAGAAATCATCGTTTTCCCAATTCAACCCACAAACAAAAAAAAGCAAAAACCAGAAACAGAAACTATGTGAACACACTACAAAGTATGCTGTGAATTTAAACGGGTCCCACTCCTGGCTAGGCTGCTCAGGGGCTCTCTGTATTGTCTCCACAGCTGGGCCTGACGCAGGGCAGGGGCTCCCTGAGGAAGGCTGCGAGATTAGCGGTGGGCACTGATGCGGGGGAGCGTTCCTGCTGCCATAGACGTCAAAAAGCAAACAAGCAAATATATAACACATCAGAGGTGGCATTGCGAGGGATAAAAATAAAGCAAGATACAGAGATAGCAGGTAAAGGAGGCTCCGGTGGCTTGGGGGTTGATGCTATCTTAGACGGTGTGGTCAAAAAATACGTCTCTGATGAGGCCCTGTATGTGCAGCAACTCGGTGGAGGGGAGGAAGTGAGTGCCCTGGGTTTCTGAGATGGAGAATTCTAAGCAGGGGGGAGAGAGTGGGAAATGTACACGAAGTTAACATAGGTCAGAATGTGCACAAATGAGTGTTAATTAGGTTCATGTAAGTGGCCAGTTGCTCTGGAGGTTGCAAAATGCAGAAGGCTTAGTCCCTACCATAAGGGTTCAAATATGAAGCCCTGGAAAGGCCTCGCCGTGTCATGCAAACCAGGGTCTGGGCCACGGGAGTGGCGGAGGTTTCCAGGCTGGGTTACTGTGGGCTGGCGTGGGCCGCCCGTCTCAGCGTCTTCACGGGAAAAGACTCCCAGGAGCCTGAGTTTGAAGGTTGAGGAGGGAAAGGTGGTGCCGAGGAGAGCACGCACTCCGCAGTGGGCAGGGCGGTGACGGTTCAGGCTTCAGTGTCCGAGGCCTGTCCATGCTCCACGCACAGCTGTAGCCCTGACCATCACCCCGGGCCCGGCAGGTTTACTCCTGCTGACTCCCCCTGTGCCTCTGCTCCAGCCACAGGCCGGGAGGGACAGAAACGTTCACGACTAACCAGGAGCACTGCCAAGCAGGAAGAGAAAGCGCCAGAGTGACCCCCTCACGGCTCAGGAAACGGTGCCTTGGCATTGGACATGGAGAGTCCCGTCCCCTGACAGGGAGACCCTCAGAGGGGAGGTGAAATCACAAGGGACTGCAGCCTGAGGGCACTGCCATCCAGGTCATCTTCTGCTCTGACTCCACGGGACACGTCGGGCGTGCTGTTCCCTTAGATCCAGTCCTCACTGCATTGAGTGTCTTGGCCTTTGTGTTTGACTTTTTAAAAAAATCTTTAACGTTGGCCGAAACCGGTTTGGCTCAGTGGATAGAGCGTCGGCCTGCGGACTGAAAGGTCCCGGGTTCGATTCCAGTCAAGGGCATGTACCTGGGTTGCGGGCACATCCCCAGTAGGAGATGTGCAGGAGGCAGCTGATCGATGTTTCTCTCTCTTCGATGTTTCTGACTCTCTATCTCTCTCCCTTCCTCTCTGTAAAAAATCAATAAAATATATTTTTAAAAAAATCTTTACTGTTGAAAGTATTACATAAATCCCCTTTCCCCCCAGTGACTTCTTCCAGCCCGCCCCCGCCCCCCACCCCAGGACTTCACCATCCCATTGTCTGCGTCTGTGCGTTATGCATATAACCAGTCAGAGAAAGACAAGTATCACATGACCTAACTCATATATGGAACCTGATGAACAAAATAAACTGACGAACAAAAATAGATCCAGAGACACAGAAGTGTGGAACAGACTGTCAAACCTCAGAGAGAAGGCAGGGGAGGGTGGGTGTGAAGAGATCAACCAATGAACCTGTTTGTCTTTTGTGAGCTCCGTCCACCAACAGCCAGCAGGACAAAGTGTGTGTTGCCCCGGCAGGCATGATCCCGGGGTTCCGGTGCTGAGCTCGGGAGAGGTGGGCATGTATCCTCCCAGGTGTGTGTGTGAGGTAATTCCACATTTCAGCCATCCAGGCAGGAGGTCCCATGGAGCGGAGAGGAAAGGCCTGCAAGTGGGTTATCATCAGGAAAATGCTGACCCCTGGTGGACATTATTTTTAATTTTATGTTTGGATTATGGTTTGCATGCAACGCTTTTTTGAATTAGTTTGAGGTATACAATACAGGAGGAAGACAATTATGTAGATTATAAAGTGTTTCCTCAGATAATTAAAGTGCCCACTTCGCACCATACATAGTTATTACAATATTGTTAACTGTATTCCCTATTCTTTAACTTACAATCCCCAGCCTACTTTGTAACTACCAATTGGTACTTCTTAATCTTATCACCTTTTTTTTTTACCCTGTTTCCCCAAGCCCCTCCCCCTGGCCTCTACCAGTTTGTTCTCTATATCTATAAGTCTGTTTCTATTTTGTTTGTCCATTTGTTTTGTTCTTTGTATTCCATATATAAGTGAAATCATATTGCATTTGTCTTTCTCTGGCTTATTTCACTTAGCCATTCATGCTGCTGCAAATGGTAAGATTTCATTGTTTTTTTATGATGAATAATATTCCATTGTACGTATGTACCACATCTTCTTTATCTACTCCTCTACTGATGGGCACTTGGGTTGTTTCCATATCTTGGCTCAGTTGGTTATCAAAAGGTTGCTGGTTCGATTCCCAGTTGGGGCACATGCCTGAGTTGTGGGTTTGATTCCCTGTGGGGGCATGTTGGAGCAGCCAATTGGTATTTTGCTCTCTTATTGATATTTCTCTCTCCCTTCCTCTCTCCAAATCTTGGCTATTGTAAATAATGTTAAAATTATATACATAATTTTGAATTACTGTTTTAAGTTTTTTTTCAGATATACACCCAGAAGTAGGAATTTCTATGCTAGTTCTAGTTTTAATTTTTTTAGGAACCTCCACACTTTATCCCATAGTGGCCGCACCAGTCGCCGCTCCCACCAACAACGCACCAGGACTCCCTTTTCTCCACATCCTCACCAACACTTGTGTGTTGATTGTTTAGTGATAGTTTCTCCGTTTACTGACTATATTTTCTTCTAGAAGTTTTATGGTTTCAGTTCTTACATTCAAGTCTTTAATCCATTTTGAGTTTATTCTTGTAGAAGGTGTAAGGAGGTGGTCTAGTTTCATTTCTTTGTATGTATCTGTCTAATTTTCCCAACATTTCATTTCTTGAATAGACTATCTTAACCCCTTTGTATGTTCTTGCCTCCTTTGTCATAGATTAATTGACCATATAGGTGTGGGTTTACTTCTGGGCTATTATTTTTAAAAATAATGCATTTTTATTGATTTCAGATAGGAAGGGAGAGGGAGAGAGAGATAGAAACATCAATGATGAGAGAGAATCATTGATTGGCTGTCTCCTACATGCCCCCTACTGGGGATCAAGCCTGTAACCTCAGGCATACGCCCATGACTAGAATCAAACCCGTACCCTTCAGTCCACAGGCTGACACTCCATCCACTGAGCCAAAGTGGCTAAGACTGTGCTTTCTATTCTGTTCTATTGATCTGTGTGTCTGTTTTTATGCCAGTATCAGTTTTGATTACTGTAGCCTTATAGTTTAGTTTATTATCATGTAGATTGACACTTCTGCTTTGATCTTTTCAAAGATTGCTGTCGCTACTGGGGTCTTTTGTGTTTCCATATAAATTTGGGGTATTTTTTTCTAGTTCTATGAAAAATGCCACTGGTATTTTTGATAGGAATTGTGTTGAATCTATAGATTGCTTCCGGTAGTATGGACATTTTAATGGTAGTCATTCTTTCTATGAGCATAGTAATGCTTCCAATTATTATTATCTTCTTTGATTTCTTTCTTCAATGTGTTATAATTTTTTGAGTACAGGTCTTTTACCTCCTTGGTTAAATTTATTTCTTGGGGTTATTTATGTAATTGAAAATGGGGTTGTTTAGACATTGTTAATTTCCTCGGACTCTCGCTAACTTCTCTGTGTGGCTCTCCCAAGGTACATGTATCCGTCCATGGACCAGCTGGCCGATGCTGCCAGG